TATATATATATATATATATATATATATATATATATATATATATATATATATATTTAAGAGATTAATAGTTTCATAATAAATAATATTGATAATTAATTGTCATTTTTATGCTATTCACCACACGTTTTTACTTTGAATACAAACGTGCATTCTTTTATGCTGGTATCACATACCGAAATTTGATCTGTTTGTGTGTGCTGAGGGTTGGACGTTTGCTGTCACCTGCTTCATATGTGTGTGTGCGTGCGTATGCCTGTGTATGTGTGTGTCATGCACCAGCATCGCTGACAGATGGCGTGTCCTTTTGCTTTAAGAAATATTGTACTCTCGAGGCTCTTTCGCAACTTTTTTAAACACAACCGCGACAAAAAGAATCTGCTATAATATGATCATCACACTCGATCATGTGATCCTCCGCGTTTGCTTTCATCCCTCCGATTCCAGGCATCATCATCCCATCATTAACAGCTTAACACACACACACACACACAAAATATCAGCAACAAAATCCACACAAGGATCGCCTGTTTTGTTCGAAAACTAAACGCATTACTGATTTTATGATATCGCATGTGCGTGCGTCCTGTACGCGCGTGTGTATACAGATTGTGTGTGTGTGTGTGTCAGTAATAAATGCAGAACCGCCTCACTCTAATCAAGCTGATTAAAAATTCCTGCGCGCTTGCAGGCGGAAATCCACCATCATCATCATCCTCATCCTCCGGCACTTTTACTTTTTTCGCATTGACCATCCTCCTCCAGGACAGCGGGAGCATCCCCCCCAAAATCCGTCTTCAATCGCGTCGTTTAGCTGGTTTAGAGATGAGGAGAAGCGGCAGGCAGCGCGGAGAGGGAGGGATGAGCCGATGCAACTCATAATTTAATGGGGACAGAGAGAGAGAGAGAGAGAGAGGGAGAGAGAGAGACGCACACACATACACACACAGAAAGAGAGAGGGAGACAGAAGGGAAACAGAAAGAAAAGGACCGAGCGCGAATGTTACAAATGTAACAACAAACGGAAGATAGAATGTAACGCGGGCGCGCTTCTGGAATGCGCGGATGCTTTGATGCTTCGTTCGACGTTCGAAAGTGTATCGCGCACTTTTAAAGCGGCTTTGGATCCGCGTACGGGCTCGAGATGAGACGGCAGGTCGCCGGGGCTTCGTGCTGTTGTTCTTCGGCTAGATGAGAGGCGATCCACGAGCGCTTTCTGTTCCCGTAGGCTCGTATTGTTGACGCTCGAATGGGATGCGTTGGGAACGCTGCCGTTGCGCTGGACGTGATCGTAAACTCCATTGAACTCTACAGACTCGCCGGAGCTCGTCGCATTTCGGTGTGATTGCGTGCAATCGCTGTTATTTTAATAGATCACATCTCGTTTTAAAGTACTTTACTGTTCGTGTTTGTGTATTAAGCGATGCAATTAATGATTTTAGCGTTGGTGTTGGCGATCTGGAAGTTTTGCGTACTTTAGAATAGAAATAGCTGTCATAAAACTGAAATCCGAGGGAAGTTTGTGCTGCTCCTGGCAAAACTTGAAGTCGCTGTTCATCCTCAGCTCCTTATATGCTTGTCTTAAAGTGGTAAGTTAAATTTTGGTTGTTTTAAAATATTTCTTTTATAGATTTTTCAGTCTAAAAGGAGAAATTCAATTATTTAATTTTATTAAATGCATCTAAAACAAGACACAGATTTTATTGTACACGACTAAATCAACATGCATTAACTTATATGTCAACAAAAGTCATTTTCAGGGTCAGAACTATAAGCTTTTTTTTTTTTTTTACTGACACATTACTTTTGTTAGTGGTTGTGATTTTTAAAAGTGACTCCACAAAAGTGTATTGGTTAGTTTATATGTTTATTTTGTGTACGTTATCTATTCCAGTTATATTGGTTTTTTCACAATGTCACCCAAGTTCATCGGTTGTTCAGTGCTGTGGAATTCATTGTTGCATGTCTGATGTCTTGTTTGGCCTGTTTGATGAAATCTAACCCCGTCTGTCATGGTGTCTGGTGCAATGTTCCTTTATCGCTGCTGTGAATGCGATAAAGCAAGGTGCACGTCTCTCTCTCTGTGTCTCTCTTTTTTTTCGGATAATCCCAGGTCATTCCTTTGTTTTGACTTTTTAGAAAAACTTTTTCAGTGTGTGCGTCACTATATTTTACACTATAAAATCTAAATATTTTTTAAACACATAAACACAAGATCTGCTAAATATTTCACCGGCCGTCCCTCTTGTATAAATTCATTGTACGCTGCGCTGATGATCACTCAAGTGGACTCCTCTGCACGTTAATGCGACTGTACAAAAACTAGCTTGTTTGCTCTCTCCACATGGGATTCTGCAGTGGGTTAGACATGCATAATACATGCTCCTAAGAATGGGAATGTGATCGTTGCATGAAACATTGTAAATGCCATGTAACATTAGGCTTGATTTGACATTTCAGGAAGAGAGTCTTTGCTTCGGTGCTCTTTATTACTGTAAGTTATTTTTCTGACTCCTGATCTTCTAATGCCACAGCTCTACTGTTTCAGGTGACAGTGAGCAGTGGTGCTGAGAACCATGGAGCATCTCAGCGAAACATGCCTGGGGAAGGAGAACTGCGAGATGGTCAACAGTTTGAACGACAGCAAGGGCCCTCCGGCTAAACTGGCCCGTCTGGAGCAGAACGGGAGCCCACCGGGTCGCTCTCGTCTGGGCAGCACTGGAGCCAAGCTCTCCGGCGTGCCCTTTAAACCCCCTGGACATCATCTGAAGGCCTGCCACAAGAGGGGTGAGTCCGCTTTTATTACCAGCCTGTCCTAGGATAGGATTCCAGTGAAAAGAGATTTGTCGGCCCACTTGAGAGGAACGTTAACATTTACATGCGTGCATTTAGAGGACACTGTTATTCAAAGCAACTCGCACAAGTTATGCTGAGAGAGAATATGCTGTAAACTACTGCTAGATACACAGTTATAAAAAAGAATTAAAATCAATCTAAAAACTGTACAAAATAACTAATCATGATAATATTTCAAAATAACTCAGTATAAAAAATAATAATATAGTTATTTTGCAATATACACTGTATAATGCTGGGTTCCACACAGTTCCTTTATGTTGTCCCAAAAAAAATTTAAGTTAACTTAATTGTTTTCACAAATTTAAGTAGATTGAGCATAAAACAATCAAGTTGTCCTCCAAAATAACTTAAGAATCGTGTTGTTTCAACTCGGTAGTTTAAACACACAGCAAAAAGTAATTTTTTTGGAGTGTGCTAGTATTCAGATTAAACAATGATTTAAAAAAATTAATTAATAAAAAAAATATATATGTATATATATATATATATATATATATATATATATATATATATATATATATATATATATATTTATTTTATTATATATTTTTATTTTTTTTTTTTTTAATACACACACACGCACACACAAAAAAAATTTTTTGTGTGTGTGTGTGCG